GGAAAATTTTGGGGGGGGGGGGCCGTACGCGGGGTGAGGGTGAGGCAGTGAGGCAGCGACAAGAGAGCAAGAATGAAATTACTGATGAGGGGTGAGGGGTAAGCAGAGAAGGTAAACGATTTCATTGTGAATTTTGAAATTCAGTGGGCTTTTGCATTAGTAACCAAATATTTCAGGGCCAAATGTTCATCCGAGTAATCTGAACGGTGGTATGGTGGACGTGGTAAGTGGACTTGTTGGCCATTTGGCGCATCGATTTCTGAATGTCGATCCATCAACTGGGCGCATTATTGGTGCAATTGCTGGCAATATCGTTTTCAATCTTGGTAGGATTTTCTCGCGAGATTTCTGTTTAGGAAAGGCAGAGCAGGGAAGAGAAAGTGTATACTTCTTTAAATGACCAGTATACGGAAGCAGTGTTCCTAGTTTAACCCTGTAGTGATCAAGCATGTTCCTAGAACAGCGCCTTATAGTCTATTCGTTTTGAGTATGCATAAAAGTCAAATTTTTCATGTGAATTCCCTGAAATCGGCCAAGTCTTTTCAAGTTAGATGCAGAAAATGCTTAGATTTTTAGTACTAGGCATTGATGCATTTTGTCAGCATAAAAAGTTTTTTTCAGGCGGCAAAGATAATAAACTTGGAAGCGTCGGTAAAATCGTTCTGGATAATATCATCAGCGGTAAATTCAAGCGCAAGGTAATTTGAATTCATAGTAAAATCCATGGCACCCAACTTTCACGATTTCTGAACAGATGGTGACGAGACATGCATCCAGAACAGGAGACTTGGTCTGCGGTCGTATCAGTAACGCCAGATCCTCATAGGAAGCAAAGAACTTGGTTTTTGATAAGAATAAGCGGGAAATTCAAGTCGAAGCTACAGTTATAATACCTCTATTAGTGCATTATTGGAAGTGGATTAGTGTAAAGAGAAGAATTTGCTAAACCTTAGAAATTTTTGTTTTTCTAATAATGTCAAGACTATCCCGAGCTCTTATAATGAGTGTTCCATGTTACTGATGCTGCTGAAGTGCTTCCACACTCCAGGCGCTTTATTCGTGAGCTGTATACCTCCAGTTAGTACTCTCCGTTTGTTCGATTTATTTACGCTGTCGTTTCGAAGGGTCCAGTTGGTCGTTTGTTTCTTGCGGATACCACTCATTGATGCGCGATTTTACTCACTAATGCGATGTACTTTTGCGAATCCTACTTTTTCTTTTTTTCGAATTTTTTCTGATTAAAAGTTGCATTGCCCATTTACACTGCCGCATAATCCGGTTATAAAAATGGTGAATTATTGTTTATAGGTTGATCCTTACGTTCCGCCAGAACCTCAGCGACGTCCATCAGCACCACCTTCGGCTCGAGGACGTGAAGTGACGCTTGATTTTTATGAAGAACGAGATCGTTGTCTTGCTGTATGTTTTCTTATTTTCATAGCTACTGGTAAAATATGGAAAACATACCATCCTAGTTGACCCTCAGCAGGAAAAGTGGTCTATGATATAGTTTTCTGACACTTGAACAGAATCTCGAAATAGTAAATCTTTGTGCTTATAGCTATGAGATGAGGCAAAGATGCAATTCGGTATGTCCAAAAGCACATGTGTTATTTGGATCGGTCTCTTTTCTTTGATCCTACAGGAAGTTTTCCTACATATAATTTGGATCCAGTCAAAGTTTTAATATAGCTATAGCCAGTTTTTAAAGCCTTCCAAGATGTTTCTTTGGGGAAGTCGTTGAATTTGTGATCCTTTTAGACGATAAAACGAACACGAAGTACGCCAGGCGATGCAGCACTGATCAAAGTAAATCGAAGAATTGGCAGCTGGGCAGTTGGAGAGCGATACAATAAACTATAGCTGATCAAATCAAATAAATACTGTTACATTAAAATCAATTTAGGAACGACGACTTTTCGAGGATCCACAATTCCCAGCCTGCGACGAGAGCTTATTCTTCAGCAAGCGCCCACCAAAACGTATCGAATGGAAACGCCCTGGGGTTTGTTATTTTTGTCTTTGCTAGTCTGAGATTTGTCTGCTTCACAGCAATTTACGAAAATCATTACGCGCCAACTGCAAGCAAAAATGTAAATTTCGAGAAGCAAAACGCAGTGTCGAGAGCGTAGCTTATGGGAAGAAACGGGAAAATGAAATTGAAGAAGGATGTTCCAGTCCATAATTAGAAAGATATACTGAAATAGGAAGGAGAATCGAAGAGAAAATTAAAAATAATAAATTGTAAAATTATTCTAATAAAATTTTTATAATGGTAAGAAATGTTTCGACCATTAAGTCGTATACATTTCGTACCATAACCACAATTAGACCTCGTCAGTACAACGATTCTGGTAATTGTAATTTGTATAGATTAAATTTAAATTAGTCCTTCTTTACTACCACAACTGGATTTCGTCAGCATGATGGTTGTGTTGTTTACTGAAATTGAGAAAGGATAAAGAATGGAGAAAATATGGTAAAAAAGAAGCCAAAAAAAAGCTGAAAAGAATCTCGTGCAAATGACAAATTTTTTTTGTTATTGCCTCAGTTCTCTTTACCATTAAATTTTGAAGCTAGTTTGCTTTGCCGGAATTAAAAATCAATGAATGTTAAGGAGAATTATACAATGTAAGTGGAAAAAATAAGCAGAACATTTTTAAGGAAATAATCGAAGAGCCACAACTGATCTATGAGGGGCAGTCACGTTTTGACGTTGTACAAGGTGAACTGGGTGATTGCTGGCTTCTGGCTGCGGCGGCAAATTTGACGCTTCGAGATGAACTATTTTATCGAGTGGTTCCGCCAGACCAGAGCTTTACTGAAAATTACGCTGGTATTCTAATTTGATCTTAAATCCTCAGGATTTTTACACGCAAAATATGTTAATTTATATTAAACACGAATTTTGATGTATGTTTGCAGAATATATTTTAAAAGCTGGAAAACGAAACTGAATTTGAAAAAGTCCAAATAAAATTAAAGTGCTAACTGAAAACCAAAAAAGCTAAGAGGCTGAGATTTCAGGATAATATTTTCTGCCTATGTAAGACCTCATAAATTCGAATACCACTTTCGCGTATGTCTAGGCCTCATCTATGGGAATGTGGAAGTTTCGGCACGAAAATCACGAACTCGTAAGCCAGAAAACTAGAAAGCTGAACTTTTGGGAAGATTTTCTTCATCCGTGTGCGATGTGAAGGATTCAAACTCAACTTTCATGTACTCTTACATTTCACGTACTGTTGCGTGAAATTTTTAGTGGGAAATCTCGCAACTTAGTAACCGGACAATATATCGACTATTTTTCCATACTACAAATTGTAAAACTATGAAAATTCTTAGCAGGCAAATGTCCACGTGATAATTACTGATTGTGGCGCCTAGACTTTCACGTGCCCGTCTGTCAGATCGAAGGGCACATGAAAGCTGAGTCTAAATGTGCCAGATAGCACTTGGGTGGCGAACATCCTCTTAAAATTTTAGTGTTCTAGGTTTGTGGCTTCTGAGGTGAAATCACGGGAGGAAACAGGATGCACCCACAAGTGCATGTATATATACACGGGGATGTAACAATATGCGTTTTGCATTGCTGCTGTGTAACATAAAACGCATAAAAACTGGTAAAATCAAGATCATATTTTCAAATCAGATCAATAAATTTTTAACTTTTAAAATAATTATAATTTACCTTTTTCAGGTATATTTCACTTCCAATTTTGGCATTACGGGCAGTGGGTTGACGTTGTTGTTGATGATCGTCTACCAACATCGAACGGCGAATTACTTTACATGCATTCACGTGATCACAATGAATTCTGGAGTGCACTCCTTGAAAAAGCATATGCTAAGTAAGTATTTATGCTACATGAAAGCATTTTGCTTCAAGTGTGAGAAATTCAACCTTTCGACGATCCAATCATTTTTTTCCAAAATTACATATTCCCCTCTCTGAGCAAGTATATAAATATTTGTTTTGCACTGCCCCTTGTACATCGATTACAGCGTAGTACTGAAGAGATCCATCGGGATCTATACGACTTAATGATCGACTCGCTTTTTTGTAATACATTTTTACACTTTTTATGTATATATAACGTAAAAAGGGAAGAGAAAATAGAAAGGCGATAAAAGGAAACAGAAGGGAAACGCAATGGCTGTGGGATTAGAAGGTTGAGAGTGACGCTGTTTGCTACTGCACCAAATTAATCTCTTATGAATTTATTTGTCAAACTAGTACCGAGTCCACCTAGCATACTGGAATTTGAATTAGATCTGCATGCTTGAGAGAATATCATTCGAATTTCTAATCGCTGGATATTCATCAGCGGTAAGTGCCACACCTCAACTCTTGAGGAAAATTTTTTGCACATACTGAAAGGTAAACAACCACTCAGATGGCTCCCATAGAAATGATGCAGATACATCGGACAGGTGGTGGATATCAACCGGTGATAAGCAGCATAAGATCGAAGGGCTTAGCAAATCAGCATTAGACGTGCGGGAGCATCCCAGTAATATCACTAACATGAAATATCCATAACTTATGGCCAGGACAGTTTTGGTATTCCTGACCTTTATTAGTTCTTTATTACTTTATATTAATTCTGGTCTGTTTGTCAGGTTGAAGTATATGCGGTCAGCCTTTATTTAGGCTTCATGGTTCATACGAAGCGCTAAAAGGGGGTACAACAAGCGAAGCGTTAGAAGATTTCACAGGTGGTTTGACGGAATTCTTCGATCTCAACCAGCCGCCGAATCATTTAATGGAAATGATGATGAGAGGCTTCGAAATGGGATCTTTGTTTGGTTGCAGTATTGAAGTAAAATTTCCTGAATTTTTCCTTTTTTTTTTCGCCTGAACAGTGCACAAGGGCGTTTTTATCACAGATATCACGTTCTTAAAATATATGCTTATGAAGGGACAGCAGGTTGCCTGTTTGCAATTCCTCACTTCAGAGACAACTTTTTGCTCAGTTCTTGAGACCTGAGCAATTTTTGCTGGAGATTATTATTATTTTCGTTATAGAATCAGCCGTTTTTTGCATCTTCTGGAAATAGACAGATTTTTGTCCTACCAGTTACTGAAACTGCATTCATGACCCACAACAATGAGGCAAATGGTTTTCGGTAATACGTCGTGGATTGGCTCACTGTGCTCAGAGTTAGATGTGAGGAATATTCATTGTTTGACATTATTTTCCAGGCGGATCCACGTCAGTGGGAAGCTGTATTGCCGAATGGTTTGGTAAAAGGACATGCATACAGTATCACCGGAATGCGCATGGTTGGTGATAAGCATTTATGTTGATAAAAAATGCAAGAATTCCATTGAAACTGTTGTCTTTTTAACAATTTAGTTGAATTTTAACATTTACCTACCTGCACCGTGCGTAGTTTAATATAATCAAAAGATTGGTACCCGAGCTCAAAACCATTGTGGGCTGAGAAAAAGCTTTCTAGTTTTTTGCTAAATTAATGTCTGTTACACACACAGACACGTACACACATATACATGCATGCATACACACACATACACATATACACGCATATATATATATATATTTATACATATATATATATCTTTCGTACGCGTTTAGAGTGAGAGAATTTTGTCGACATACGTTTTCACATTTGCCTAATTTGATATTTCATCGTTCTATTTCTTCTATTTTTCTTATTCACGCAGTTTTTTCACACAGCCATTCAGCCAGATCCGTCCACTGCAATGGCATCTTCCCTTGTTCTTCCCCTCTACTTTTTAGCAATCCTGGATACCACTGAATAATAGAAAGGTATTTTAAAGTGGGAAGAAGAATAGAAGAGAAAATAATATTAGGAAATTAGTAAAATTAATAAAGTCATTTTAATAAAATTATTATAATAGGATAGTTATAATAAAGTTTTTATGATAAAATTATTATAGTGAAATCCGCGAGTGTAATTATACGGGCATATTCGAAGTGCGAGAATTTCGTAAAAACGCATATCTGCAAAAGAAATAAATTCTGACACTATAAGCGTAGAAACAGTTTTGTTTTTTTTTTCTCAGAACTCACGATCATTGCGTTTTTTTCTTTTAAAGGTTGATTCACGTAATGGCCTCACTCCAATATTACGCATACGAAATCCGTGGGGCAACGAACGGGAATGGACTGGTGCGTGGTCAGATAATTCGCGTGAATGGCAGTATCTGTCAAAACACGATCACGAAGAGCTTGGACTCGTCTTCGCACATGACGGAGAATTTTGGTACTAGTTTTTTTGGGCAGTGTTGTTAATTCAAGATTTGGTTCTAAATTATTATGCCAAATGGAATTTTGATATTTGGACGCTCCCTGAATATCTTGGAAATTTTTATAACTTGTTATTTCGTCGCAGTATTCGGGTGATGGCTGGCAGTTTTCCCATTCTTCTCTGTTTTGAGCTTCTCTCATCGACTTAAGTTATGTGGTCGTTTAGAGTTGGATCCTTGGATCCTTCGCATCATGGACTTTAGTCGTCCACTTCTGCATGAGTGCCATCTGATAGTTTTAGTCCACGTTCATCATGTATTGACTCTCTTGCCACGTGGCCAGCCCAGCTTTCCTTTCCGATATAAATTGTTTTATTAGAATCGCTAGGTCGGGAACAAATTTTTCATTTGAGGTACCCGAGAAAGTGTTGCTTTGTGAGGTGCTTATTTCATTGTTTTGTTGATAATTTGCAGTTTGGTTTTTTTTTTCCCTTGAATTCTCAAAGTATTTTTTAAAACAATTATTTGTAGTTGCCTTTGTCCGCTCTCTTTTTTGGGGGGTATTAATTTGGTAGATTTATATGTAATGTACGTTCAACATTTAACTACGTGTTTTTTTCAGGATGTGCTATGAAGATTTTGTGCACAATTTTGATAAAATGGAAATTTGCAATCTTGGCCCAGATATTATGGACGAGGTAAGTTTTTTTTTGTTTTTATCGCAGCAGCGCCTATTAGTATAATACCTTCAGTTTCTCAAACTGAACGGCGTTAACGATAAGAAACCTTGACTTCAGTCTCACCCTATTTTGCAAGCAGTGTTGATTTGTCTGCCTTGCCTGTTTTCGAATCTTTCGCATTCAAGAGACTTCAAATACGGAGACATCTTAGTTTCTTGAGGGCCGCTCATTCTTGTCATTTTTGTAAAATCAGAAATGATTCTGAAATGTTCCACCCAGGTTTATCAAATGACGGGTGTTCGCACACCGCAGAATACATGGGCCGCAAATACTCTTGATGGCGCCTGGATTGCAAACGAAACAGCCGGTGGTTGCCGCAACTACATCCGTATGGAATCATTTCTTTTATTAGCCGATTTTTGCATTTATACAACGTAAAAACGTATATTACAGTCTGCTATGATCGTCTGTGTGTGCGTGTTTCTGTCTGCATTTCTCGATTTCCTCGTCTGAGAAAGTTGTGAAGTTGAAATTTTAGCAACTTAACCCATCAATAAAAAAAATAGACCTTAGGCGTGGAATGGACGCTCAATTCCTTCGATTTGAATTCAGAGGTTTTTACAATGTTTTAATGAATATTTTTATAGTGGAATGAACCGGCGCGAAAAACTGTTTGTTTTTTGCGACTTGAAAAGGTCTCACATGCATCTTGTCTTGGCATCTTTTCCTGTGCGCCATCTTTTGCTCTCTTTAGACGTGCTTACTACAATTAACAAATTACTGTGGGCGTTAGTAATGTTGTTAGAACACTTGACAATAGTAGCGCCAGCCCTTCGACTCCAAGCTAGTACCAGCTTCGGGTCGGTAGATGCGTGTCACACTTCAGGAGGCCGCCTCAGTGGTCGTTTTTTTTTTCCGCGAGCACCAATAACTGATTCTTCAAAAGGGCTGATAGCGTTTTATCATCCTGTGCGTTGTTCATCTCACAAAAAGTCCGATTGCCTGTTTAGCGACAAAGAAACTCTAAGCATCTTTCAATTCATTAAAAAACACGACAAAAAATGATGTAGAAAATTGGTATTATGGGTATGACATTTGAAACTTACGTTTTTTATGCGTTTTTTGCAGCTATGCAATGCGAAAACGCATATTGTCGAACGGTTGTCTGTGTGTGCGTCTGCAACGAGTTTTCACCTCGAGATCCACAAAACCTACAAGCCTGAAAATTTGGTGACTTAATCTAGACATACGTGTGGGCTCATGTCCTCAAAATTGACGCTCAGGTCCGCGTGGTTCTCACGTAGGGGCACGTGAAAGTTTTTTTGGCAGTAAAGCGTTTTCGCGAACGGCCCATGCTAGAAGGCAGGAACTTCACAGAACTGTTCCTTGGCCGCGTTTAATCCAAAGATTTCAAATTCAGCTTTCACGCACCCTCAGGACGTACTTACACGTCAAGGTTTAAACTGGCATCACGCCAACTCCAAATTTAAGGTGATCAATAAGCTGCAGAGAGCTGCAATTT